TACCGCTATCATTTAATCACTCATAAAGAAGAGCAAACTCGATGCAATAATTATTGTTCACTATTGGCATATCCCAGTTCTGTCTTTCTGGAGAGCAAAAGTGGAACCAGAGCTCCGGGTGTTATCATAGACACAGATCTACATTTTAAGAGCCTTATCTATAATCTCACAGGATCAGCCTTCTACCAAAACTAAAGGTCTTTCTGTCAGAAGCACTCTGAAAAATAAATCCATCCAAATAAAGTTGCACCAATCACCCTCTGGACTCTGGAAATAAAGTGTTTTGTATAGAACTGATAAAAAGACTCTTTGACCTTGATAACTATTAAATGGGAACAGAAATGCATTCTGGCCCTAGAAGCTGGCTGTTGTATTCCCTCAGGTGAGAATGGATATCTTTCACAGAGAACATTATCGGGGGAAAACTAGAGGATTTTGACCGTCTCTGCAAACCCTCGCTCTCTGCAGTGAGCCTCTCACAATCTGTGCGCCAACATCTTCAAAATGTGCCAGATGTGTTACACACTTTTGTACAAGCCAGGGGAGACTATTAAGGTATTTATATTACAATTTAAAGTGTGTAACTTTAAAGGGGGGTCTATTGGCAGAAATTGAATTTCAGTAGTTTGTGAGTAAACACTAGTGAAACACTTGCTTTGCATTCCTGTCTCATCAACCCCACAACCTATACGCATATATTTGAATGCATTTCCGTTCCTCTAAAGTGATGAAAAATAGCTGCAGAGTAAAACATCAGATTGTGTGGAATGATAAGGAGACATCATTTAACTATGTCATCTTGTTGCACTCTCTTCTTCTGCAGTGGTTTAATGGCACCTGGCTGAAGAATTAGCTCCGTCAGCTAATTTTACTGTTATCTACTATCGCAAAATGGTAGTGGATGGAAATTGCATTTTCTTTATCAGATTATTTTTTGCAAAACCTTGGTTGAAAGGTTGGTAGAAACCTACCTAATAAAAAAAAATGTACTTTTGGGCCCATAATAGTCTAAATGCTGTTTATATTTTTATATATATATTATTTTTTATTTATTTATTTTTATTTATTTATTTTTTTCTGAAACTTTCACTATATCCTGGCAGTAGTACATGAGACAGATTTTTCACAGATCTGTGACAAAACCTGGTTCCTCTTGGTCCTCCTAGTGCTCCCTTTCAAGAATCCGATGAGCCAATCAATCAGAGCCAAGAAAGATAAAAAGATGCTTTGGGTTCGTAGCTGAAGATAGGTTGATTGTTCAGTCTCATTCCCAGCGTCTTTACTTGATAACCTAAGACCCAACAATAAATCTTTCTTAGCTCTGATTGGTTGTTTTCGTTCAGGCTGGGTGGATTCTTGCAAATACCATTAGGAGCATAAGAATAGAGTCCATCAGCCTTCTTATACAGGTGAAGTAGCTTTACACTTGTTTCAACAGTTTATTTAATGGTTTAACAGCAGACTTCTGCTGTGGACCACCAGCCAGGGGGATTTCCCCAAACTGAACAAAGTCTCATTTCTCACAAACGCTTTACATACATACATGTACATGACATTTATGGTTGATATATCAAGAAGGTCAAGGTAAATTGTTCCACTAACTTGCCTTTGAATTAGTACCTCATACGTTTCTTCACATGAAAATCTAAAGATTACAGAATTTAATATGTAAATATATGAATTGTATTTAATGTCTCCACTTGTGAAGATATTGTGTTTCTGCTGGTTGATGATGCTTTCAGTACAGCTCAGTAAGACAGAGTGAAGCAGTCTGTGTTGTACTGGCTTCCCCTACAGGTGAAGCTCACCAAGTACATGTGGACACAGCTGCAGTGGAAGCAGAGGGTTCCAGAAAGAGAGAGACCTGAAGCTCTGGGTGGATACCCAAGACTGGAGCACTGGCTCCTAACAGCTGACCTCACACCACAATTCATACAGGTATGTGTGTGTGCGTTTGCCTGTCTGTATTTTTGGGTCTGGTGATGCCCAATTGTCCCACACTTTTGGACAGACAAAGGACGTCCCG